CTGCCTGCCTGCCTGCCTGCCTACCTACCTACCTACCTACCTACCTAACAGGTTATTGTTAGGTCACTTAGGAAAAATAAAGTTAAATAAAATAGATGCCAGTTGCCAATTAGAACAATGTCAAATTGTCAATTAGCACCTTGTCAGGATCAGCTTCTCCTGTTGGCACTCTGTGCATACATAGCTCTCTGCCTGTGCTGATTCCTGAACATCGTTTGTCAACTGGATGATTACAGTGATATCATCTGCAGAAAACTGATTTGAAAAACTGAATCACAGCTGATCAAAGCATATTTTCCATGCTTGATAATCACACTACTGTGTGATTTCTCAGGCAGGTCACTGCCTCGGAGGCCTAATTATCCATCTCTATGGAAGAATGATGACCTACTTCACAGGCCTAAGGACAACATTAACTTACTTGGAAGTTGTCACCATTAAACTTCCTTTCAAATAAGCATGGATAGGATTTGGCTATAGAATTGAAACAATATCACATGAATAGTATAACCTCTCAAATTACAGTAACATATAATAGAATATAGTTAATCATTTATAAAAGTAAATGGTACAGAAGCTATTTACATCTTGCTAATACATTTCTGCAAAGCAAAAATTCATTCATAACAAATTGCAGATTCAAGCTGAGTTATTGTCAAGGAAGGAGGAGGAGGAGAATGGGATTTCAATAAAAGATCAGTCAATAAGGGCAGTGTTATATGAATAGCAGGAAATATGGACTCTTTTTGCAGAAACCTTTACAGTAATTGTAGAAAGTTTTAACTTTTGTAATAGTTCTAACAGTTACAACTGCATAGTAATGAGGATCCTGTCAGGTTACCAATCTTAACAAGCTCTTTGTGAAAGCACTAAAAGCACAAAACCATGGATACCTGTGTCCATTCATTTGTTTGAGGATCATATGACTCCATAGTGTTCAAGTACGTCTGGCCATCATATCCACCCACTGCATATAATTTATCTCCAAGGATACAAACACCAACAGCATCACGAGGCATGCTCAGTGGAGCCACCATTGTCCATGTATCGGTTTTTGGGTCATATCTGTACAAGAAAAGGGAAGGCATATCTCATGAGAATCTGTACTGTAAATTAGATAATTTTCAACATTAAAAACCATTATGTTCCATTCACCAAATAGATTTCTTCTGAATATCTTCCTAGGCAGAAAGGGAAGTCATACAAGCATCTAAACCATTAAAATATTCCAAAGTCCAGTGTGCTTTTCTTATTAATTATGTGCTTTTAAGACCAACCAATCTCTACTTATTTGGGGCTAGATGTTGAATTTTGGCCAGATCTATTCACTCACTCACATTCTTCCCTCCTGTCACTAATTATGAAATTGTTCTCTTTAAGCTAGACTATAGATTACAAGTGAAGCTGGAGGCAGAATAGTTCTTTAATTTTCAAAGCACATTTCTATAAATTTGATTATATTAATTTTTCCTCATGTTTTGCTCTCTTTAAAATCTTTGAAGTTCAGTAGATGGTTCTAAATCCATATAACATATTCATATTCTGGTGACATATTGAAATGCTGCATTGGCAGAAGAGTAAAATAGTTGATTTCTACAGTATAACTCACTGAGATGTGCATGAGAGGGGTAGAATGTTGACTGCTGCTGGCTCATAAAACTGAGAAAAGGACATGATTAAGATGAGATAAAGAATCTCTCTTTTTTTCCCTGTGAAGTAAGAGATCTCTGTGTACACCTTAAACCAGGTTCCCTCCATCATCTGTAATCTAGGCATTAGGTTTCAAATTGGGAGTATCCACTTAGGCTAAACTTCTGTACACCTCCTGTTTTATCTGTCGGGATTGATGCAGTCTCCGGAGGGTCCTGGGGAAAGAAAAATGCACCCAAGGTCTCTTGAGCTTGCCTACCACCAGCTAGAAAGGTTCAATGATGGAGGGGGATTGCTGCAGGATTAAAAGGGGGGGAGGAAGTATTTGCAGGAGGCAGTAACAAAAAGGAGCCCAGAAGGAGCCAATTTTATCATTTATGGTGAAATTTCAACTTGAAAACTCAAACTCCCAACCCAAGCGTACAGCTTTCCAACTGATTAAAGATGACACATACAAATGCTAGCAAAACATTTGCACCCTATCTGAAATATTTTATCAGAAATATCTTCAATGTTCACTTCTCCTTTGGTTAAAATGTGCATTAAAAAGATTTAATCTGGAATTTATTGTACTATGTAATCCCACCTGAGGCATTTTTCACATTTCATTCTTTAAACATTTTGTGTATGGTTGGATGTTTTTAATTGTTAATGTTGTAAAAAAACTGTCAATATTTTCCAGATATTAATCCAAACCACACATTAATATTAATGTTGTGCTATTTTCTTAGACGTTTATAGCAATTAATTCACCATATATGAGGAAAATTGTTATGAGGGCTTTAGGAAATAGGAAGCTCTAAAACCTTATCCTTCCCTTCAGCTCAGCAGTTCCAAATTGATTTCTTTTTGTATTCAGGAACTTTATGGTGGCTCTCAATTCACCTCCGGGCACATCAAGTTATTACAAAGATGAAGTGTGCAGCCCTTTCCTTTTTCCTTTAAACCGGGGAAATAATGTTGCAAAATATAGACAATGATTCAACTACAACACTCATTTCTTTTCCACTCTTCTCTGCGATTCAGTGCTAGTTGTTCTCCTAGTTTTTGTCATTGTTTATTAACTTTTCAAAAATGTTATTTCTATTTGCTTTTGCTTTTGTCTTTCTATTGCATTCATCTTGACTTTTGCTGCTGAAAAAAATATACCGTATTTTTCGCATCATAAGACACACTTTTTCCCCACAAAACAGGGGGGTGGAAAGTCTGTGTGTCTTATGGAGTGAAGAAAACAGATTATATTTTCCTGTTTTCTTCTCCTAAAAAATTGGTGCGTCTTATGGAAAGGTGTGTCTTATGGAGCGAAAAATATGGGGTAATCCTGTATCAAGCACGCAGCACACATGTGAAGTTAAAAGATGCAAATTATTGTTTGTATAACACCCACTGGCTAAAGACCTATACAGTGGTGCCTCACCTGATGACGTTAATTCGTTCCAGCAAAATCGCTGTACAGCAAAAACGTCATCAAACGAAATAAAAAACCCATTGAAACGCATTAAAAACGGTTAATGCATTCCAATGGGCAAAATACCTGCTCGTCCAGCAAAGATCCTCCATACGGTGGCCATTTTCAGGTGCCTGTCTTACGAAAAATGGCTCCTAAAAACATCAGGGAGCCATTTTGAACAGCCGGCAGCCATTTTGAAAACCCGACGATCAGCTGTTTTGATCGTCGTAATGCAAAGAATCAGTTCCCGAAGCAGGGGACCGATCATCACAAAGCGAAAAACCCCCATTAAAAATCGTTTTGCGGTCGCAATTGCGATCACAAAAACATCATCGTGAAGCGAATTCATCATTATGCAGGGTAACTGTTAAGCGGGGCACGACTGTAAATTATTTTAAAGCCAGTGTCTAGCCTTTAGTTAAATAGTATAAAGTGTAACTATTTGTGACATATTTGGAACAACTAATTTTATGAAAAACAATGCTTTGCTTTAACCCTCAACCATTAACTAAAATCTTTTCAGCCTCCCCTATTTCACTTGGTTCAGAAAGCACCTAGAAGTAGATGAACGATCTATATAGCATTGCAATGTGTGCATTTCCCCCAAAACTTCATGTGGAAGTGTGTTTTTCAGCTCTGGATGTGTCCTTGGTTGTAGTCCTGAATATTGGCAGACTTATTTCACATAGTGGGGCATTTTTCTCCTCCATTATACACTACAAATTTCCAGTTTTTTCCCCTCCATGTTGCTCACAATAGAGTAAAAGAAAAGAAAACCAGACTACTCATATTACGGACATTTCTCCAGCAATGAAACCCTCTCTATTGTAGTAAATGTCCACAAAATGAAATGCAATTGTTTATGCCAATCACATTGCATCACTTCAATGTCACTAAATCATGTCCAACCCCTCAGGACTTTTGCCTAAAACACTGTATTGGCAAACTCCTAAATTACCCTAGCAGCAGTGAGCAAAGATCAGTAAGAATTGCTGAGATTTATTTTGTTTATTAAATGAAAACTGCAAATATTAAATTCTTAAATACAGAGACTAAAACCCTATTCAATCATTACCAACACACGATGGAACAGTTAACCACTCACCTCTTCATTGTTTTATTTACCATGTAGACAGAGACATATATGAAGAGAAGAAACTCCTGCCTACATATTAGGTCAACCACATGAACAAAAAATATGATTGTTCATGTTCTTCCTTGAATATATAGCTTACATACAAGAAGGAGTTTATGCTTTGCAGACACAAGCTGTTGATGTGGATAAAGTGACTTAGGGGAAGGCCTAAGTGTGTTCATAACAAAGAGGTGGGTAATAACTGGACAGGGCTATTGTTTTTAGTGCTATTTGGATAATACTATTGTAGAGAAACTACAGTGTAGGTTTGCTGTGTGCTTTGTGCAACAAGAAGTGATTTGGGGGAAAATAAATAATCTCTTTTAGTGCTTGAATGTTGAATTGTCCTTGTCTTGGAAGCATAAGATAATAACAAAAAAAGTAATTATTTTATTAGGAATTCAGAAACGCTGGTTATTAAAATCTAAAATGAAGGAGATATAAGAAAATGAATAAAACCTATGACTATTGTTCTTATGCTCCAGAAATGAGTATACAAATAGTTATTCAATCCTAATAGTTTCTAACAAGAAAACCAAATAACTATTTACGAATTCAAGACTATTTCGGGCAATCTACTTTGCATTCCAGAACATTGCTTGTAAACACATACCTTTCAACATAATCCAAGAGTCTGGAGCAATGATTAGAAGCAGGGGCATCATGGCCTCCAACTGCATAGAGGAAACCATCACAAGTAGCCACTCCGACACCCCCTCTTCTCTTACACATTGGAGCACACATGCTCCATTTGTTTGTGTGCGGATCATAATATTCCATAGAGCTCAAACAAGAACTGCCATCTCGACCTCCAACTGAGTACAACCTAGAATAAACAGTAAACAATTACTAAGCATAACAGGTAGAATTCAGAACTAAACAGTGAATAGAAAAGCTTGGTGTGCGTTTTCTAGAGTCTACAATGTGATGAACATTGTCCTTAAGGGCTCCTTCTCTACAATTTCTCATGGCTGTTCAAAGGTATGAGTACATAATCACAATCATACCTGTCCATTACTGATTACTATTAAGTTATATAATTCCATGCTTATCAGTTTGGAACAATGACAAAAAAGTAGTTTTACATATTTGGAGGACTCAGAAGTGTTGCTGTTACATGCTGTCAAATCTCCTTGACCGATGGCAATCTTATGAATGAGTGACCTCCAGAATGGCCTATCCTTCACAGCCCAGCTCAGCTCCTGAAGCTGTAACTTCATTTATGTGCTCCGTCTATCTCATATTTGATCCTCTTCTTTTCCAGTTGCCTTCAGCTCCTCCAGCATTTTTATCTTTTCCAACAAGTCATGTCTTCTCATGATGTGCTCGAAGTACAACAGCCTCAGCTGTGTCATTTCTGCTTCCAGAGTTGATTTAATCTAACACCCACAGAGTATCCACAAAGCTCTCCACCAGCACTGTATTTCAAATGGATCAATTTTTTTTCCTGTCAGTTTTTTTCATTGTCCGACTTCACCATACATAGTAATCAGGAATACAATAGTGTGGATGATCTTGGCTTTGGCTGTCAGTAATACATCCCTACAGTTGATAATATTTTCTATTTCTTTTCCATGTTTCTTCTTCTTGGCTGCAGTCTCTATTTGAATAGCTGATTGAACCACAGTATACAAACTTTTTTTTACACTCAGAACTGTACTAATTTATACATTTTAAAGTGTATTTAAAGACTAAAAATGGCCAGTTTAGCAGCCATTCTTTTTATATATAATTTTATTTTATTTTTTTACATAAAGGGTGACATAGGAACATGGGGGCTAGGGGTTGTGAGGGAAGGAGATTTGTGAGGGAGAGGGGAAATCATAGCATACTAATATCCAATCTATACCTATTGCCATATCAAATCCAAAATCATTCTATTTACTCTTTTCTGCCTTATGTATAAGGTTCTCAT